TCAGCAGGTCTGGCAGCATCTGTGAAGAAAAATCGGAGTTAACGTTTCGGGTCCGGTTCGGAGGGTCATCGGACCCGAAACGTTAACTCTTGATCTTTCTTCACAGATGCTGCCAGACCTACTGAGATTTTCCAGCGACTTCTGTTTTTGTTCCTCCCGGGGCTACTCTCCAACGCCAGCACACACTTCCTTAGATGCAGGGCCCGAACCCGCTCACAATACTCCAAAGCCAGCCGCCAGCTGGATAGGGAAGGGACACGCTTGAATAGCTTCGCACCGTAAGGTCTGCACAAGCAGCTCACTCGCCGGCACCTGCTGGGCCCGGGGGGCTGCGGTGATGGCGGATTATGTGTCAGAGTACCCTGCCCCCAGGGCGCTGTGCGACCGTCAGAAACCCCTAACAGGCCGAACCGATCGGGTTGCGGACTAACAGCAACAGTGTGGCTGGCCGAGTGAGTGAGACAGACAAGAGAAGCGCTCCTCTGTGTACCTGGCTGGGGAGAAGCCTCCTTCACCCACTCCGGACTCTCCTGTCTCGAGCTCCGATCGGCTCAGTCAGCTGACCCTAGCGCATGCGCGCGGGGGTGGGCCGGCTGGCGCGGAGGGGGCGGGGCTGCCAAAATTAATATTTCATTCGAGTCTAATTTTTAATGTTTTTACACCGCACCTCAGGTCACAATCCGAAAGAGTGTAAATAAAATCACAAACTTTACGACTTTTGCAGTACTCAGTGGAGGGGGCAAATGTAAGGCGCGGTGACGTCATGATGCGTCACCCCCTCCGCTTTTCCGAAGGATATCTTTTTTATAAAAAAAAACACCGATTCAAAATTTGATCGTTTCCTCTTCAAATTTGTTTTAAACTCCGATAATGTTTGCGCATTGATGAATTTCAATTTCCAAGAGCGGGGAAAAGAACTCAGCAAGTCACGTGATAACAGCCTTTTCTATACGTTCTAAGATAAAATAAATAACATAAGTATCACTCGGGAGGACGTTCATAGGGACTTGCGGGGAGTTTATTTCTACGTGAAGACTGATATGAACAAAATGTGGAACTGCTGGAGGGTGAAAAGGTCACACTGGCTGTCGTTTCTTTCCCGTTAATTCCAATAGTCCGTCTATGGTCGGCGGTTATATTTTCACTAATTTATATATAAAATAAAAAGGAGAGAAATTTAAACCAGCACTGTTCAATACGGGTGATTATTTCTGAGGGGATTCGT